CAGTAAATGTTGTGTGTCTTGACTTTCAAAAGGCTTTTGACAAGGTTCCACATGAGATTAGTAAGAAAAATTAATGTTCATGATATCGGAGGTAATGTATTGACATGGGTAGAGAACTGGTTGGCAGACAGGAAGCAGAGAGTTGAAATAAATGGGCCCTTCTTAGAGTGATGAGTGGGATGCCACAGGTTTCAGTGCTTGGACCCCAACTGTTCACAATATACATTAACAAATTGAACGAAGGAATTAAATGCCATATCTCCAAATTTGCGGATGACACCAGGCTGGGTGTCAGTCTGTGCTGTGAAGAGGATGCTAAGAGGCTGCAGGGTGACTTGGACAGACTGCTGAATGGGCAAATACTTGGCCAATGCAATATAATGTGGATAAATGTGAGGTTATTCACTTTGGTCACAAAAACAGGAAGGCAGATTATTATCTGAATGGTGGTTAGGAAAAGGTAAGGTGCTGCGGGACCTCAGTGTCATGGTGGAACAGTCACTGAAGGTTGGCATGCCGGTGCAGCAGGCAGTGAGGAAAGCTAACAACATAGAATCATAGAATCCCTACAGTGTGGAAACAGGCCTTTCGGCCCAACAAGTGTACACCACTCCTCCAAACAGCATACCACCTAGACCCATTCCCCTACCCGTGTCTAACCCACCTAACCTAGACATCCCTGGACACGACTGATAATTTAGCATGGCCCATCCACCTACCCTGCACATCTTTGGACTGTGGGAAGAAACCGGAGCATCCAGAGGAAACCCACACACGCACAAGGAGAATGTGCAAACTCCACACAGACAGAAGCCCAAGGGTGGAATCGAACCCGGGTCCCTGGCGCTTGATAGCGAGAGAGAATTTGAGCATAGGAGTAGGGATGTCTTGCTGCAGTTATACAGGGTGTTGGTGAAGTCACGCGTTGAGTATTGTGTACAGTTCTGGTCTCCTAGTCTGAAGAGGGAAAATCGTACCATTGAGGGATTCCAACGAAGGTTCATCAGACTGATTCCCAGGATGGCAGGACTGACAAAAGAGAAAAGAGTGGATTGACTGGGCTTGTATTCACTGGAATTTAGAAGAATGAGGGGGATCTCTTAGAAACATATAAAAGCCTGATGGGACTGGACAGGCTAGATGCAGGAAGAATGTTCCTGATTTTGGGGAAGCCCAGAATAAGGGGTCACAGTCTAAGAATTAAGGAGTAAGCCTTTCAGGACTGACATGAAGAATCTCTTCACTCAAGAGTTGTAAACCTATGGAATTCTCTCCCACAGAATGCTGTTGGGGCCAGTTTACGAGATATATTCGAGCGGGAGTTGGACATGGCCCTTGCGGCTAAGGGGATCAAGGGATATGGGGAGAGGGCAGGAATGGGATACTGAGATTGCATGATCACCCATGATCATATTGAATGATGGTGTAGGCCCGAAGGGCCAAGTGGTCTACTCGTGAACCTATTTTTTATGTTTCGTTGTTTCTGTAATGTTGCGTCTCATTATTCTAAATACCAATGAGTCCATGCCTAACCTATTCAACTTCCCCTCATAAGACAGTCCCTCCAAACCTGGGATCAGCCTAGCGGAACATCTGTGGACTGCCTCCAATGCCGCTGTATCTTTCCTTAGACAAGGGGCCCAACACTGTTTAACAGTATTCCAGCCTGACTAGAGCCTTGTATAGTTCTAGAAAGATTTGCCTACTTTTATCCTCTATTCCCTTTTATGTAGAGCAGATATTCCATTTGCCATTTCTATTACTCGTTGAACTTGGATGCTAGCTTTGTGATTCATAAAAAATCCCTCTTGTATATCTTCCTGCAGTCTTTCTACATTTAAATAATATTCACCTCCTCTATTCTTGCTAAAAAGTGCATAACCTCACATTTTCTTGCATTATATTTTATCACATAGTTTTATATCCCTCTGCTGATTTGTTGTGTCATCCTCACCATTTGCATTCTGACCCATTTTTATGTCAGCCGCAAACGTAGCGTAATACATTTCATCTAAGTCATTAAAATATGTTGTAAATAATTGTGGCCGAGCCCTTATCCTTGTGGAGCTTCACTAATTATAGGTGGCCATCCTGAAAATGCACTCTACACCCCCTCCCCACCCCCCCCCACCCCACCCCCTTCCCCCCCCGCCCCCTCCCCCCTGCCTCCTGGCCCCCACCTCCAACCCGCCCTCCCCCCTACTAGAATTCTCCCCCCTCCCAATCCATTTATCTTGACTATCTTCTATTTGTTAGCCAGTCCTGTATTATTACTAATTTACTACCTTGAACACCATAGGCTGTTATTAAGTAGCCTAATGTGTTGAACTTCATCAAACGCTTTCTGAAAATCCAAAATGTATTACACTCACTGATTTCCCCTCTATCTATCTTGCTTGTTACCTCCTCAAAGAATTCTAGTAAATTTGTCAGACATGCTTTCCCCTTCATGTAGCCATACTGAATCTGCCTGATCATGTTATGCAATTCTAAATTCTCTATGATTACATCCTTTATAATAGACTTCCATTTTCCCAATAACTGACATTAACCTAACTGGCTAATCGTTATCTGTTTCTTGCCTCCCTCTCTTTCTATATTTAGTTACATTGGCAGTTTTCCAATCGTTTGGGTCTTTTCCAGAATCTAAGTATTCTTGGAAGATCACTACCTGTGCATCCACTTTCTCTGGAGCTACTTCTTTAATATCTGGGGGCACATCCCATCAGATTCAGGGCTCTCCTCAGTCTTTAGCCCCAATATTGTAGCCACTGTCTGAGCCCTGTTTCTCAAAAGTTCTAGTTGTCGTGCCTATTTAACTTTAACCATCCAAGAGGTCTCCAGCCTCCAGGTGGGTCATGACCACACACTTAAGTTTGGATCACCAACTAAGCCTCTACCTAAGATGCTTTGGTACCAAGAGAAATTTTACTTTAAAGGTTGGAGTACCAGACCTGTAAGGGGACATCAAGTGAGCCAGGTTAAAGGTCACTATGAATACTCACTTAGCTTTGCCCTTTGGTGGTCCATGATTTTTGTACACTGCCCTTGGGACAGCTTGGCAGTCCATGAATGGTTCTTTACAGGCTGACCTCTGTTGTAATTTAGTGGATTCGGCAGGTACTTTACACAGCAAGATGTCACAATGCAGTATTTTGAACATTCAGTTTCAGATTGTGACTTTGTTTATATCTGCCCAGCCTTCTCTGACTCTCCCTCTCACCCTCAATCCTCCGACCTGTCTCTTTCTCTCTTCTCTCCTTCCTGAAGCTGCAAACAACCTGTCTCTCACTCTGCTTCTGCCATGCCCCTCCATCTCTTTCTCTCTCATGACATCGCTTTCTCTTGGTCTCACTCTTTTTCTGTATGGCTGTGATCAAGTAAGTAACATAGGCAATCCATGCATAGTAAGATACCACAAGCAGCAGGGTATTCACAATGCAACATTCCCCTCACCCTAGCTAGAAAAGGGCTGAAGTTGCTCAAAAACTAAAGTTTGAGACATCAATTGGAGACCTTTAGGAGAACTTACCAGGAAGTGAATTAATTTTTATGGCTAGTCCATTTTAGTTTCAGGTCACTTTCAACCCAAGGATGTTGATAGTGGGTAATTCAGTGATGGTAATGCCATTTGAATGGGAGGGGTTGCAGTTAAGTTCTAATTTGTTGGAGCTGGTCATTTCTTAGCACTGGTGTGACATGAATGTTTCTGGCTACTTGTCAACCCAACCTGGATATTGTTCAGGTCTTGCTGCATTTGACATGAACTGCTTCAGTATCTGAGGAGTCACAAATGGTACTGAACATTATGCAGTTATCAGCAAATATCCCCACTTATCACCTAAAGATAGAGAGAAGGTAAAGGATGAGGAAATTACCCTTAGGAACTTCTCAATTATTCTGGAGCTGAGATGAGTGACCTCCAGCAATCAGAACCATCTTCCTTTGTGTTAATTTTGATTCCAACCACCAGAGTGTTTTCCTTCTGAGTCCCATTAACCCTAATGTTACTCTGACTCCTTGATGCTACATATGGTAAAGTACTGTCTTGATGTTATCTCCTTCTGGAGTTCAGCTCTTTTGTCGATGGCAATTAAAGGAAAAATTTGAAAGGGAATCAGAGTTGCCATTCCTAAACTCCTCCAATGATTTTAAGAAGTGATACTCCCAACATGAGGTCAATGGTCAGTGCTCATAAAACTCAATTAATTTATTAAGTACTTAAATGAATAACACGCGCTTTTAACTGCTACAGATTTCTAAATCACTGTCTTTCACTATCCTGGGTTCGGTAACTAACCCCAAAGGTTATTATTGGGAGGGTCGGCAGTTAGTAAGGCTGAAATTCTTCTCGATGTCTTCACTACTCCTCCTGACACGGTGTACCTTCTGCAGTATTATTCTTTGAAGTTCTGCTGAACGAAGGATTCTTCTCAAGATCTTCATACACAGGTCTCTGTGCCAAGTGTATGCCTTATTTGGAATTGTCCGTGTATGTGACCAATCCTGAATATTTTGTCCAAGCATATGACTTATTTGGAAGAAACAGCAGTTACTGATTTCCTGCAATCTTAGCTGTTAGCAGACATGAATGACACAGCATAATTCCACTCACACAACAGCCCATTGCAAAGCCTCTCATTAGTTTCTGTTGTCTTCAGGCTTATCTATCAATCACATCATGAAAGAATATTTGCTCCTTCAAGTAGCGATCTTTAATTTTCTATGGTGAATTTGGCTGTAATAACTGCAACAAAACAATATTCATTGTATTTAAATGGCAGACAGCGAAATAAATTTTCACGAAGCTAGCTATAAAGTGGTGCAACTTGAGTGAAACCTTTATTGTCATTTAGCCATGCTAGAGGGCAAAGATGGCAACACCTGCACTTCCCATGAAGTTGGTGTGCTATTTATGACTAAATAAGGGTGATGCCTCACTGTTTAACAGTAAAATATGACCGAGTATAATTGATCTTTTTGTACTTTTTGATTTTTAGCTTTTTTCTTGGTGAACTGGAGAAGTGCCTTGAGGATCCTGATAAATTAGCTTCACTTTTTGTCAAACATGTAAGTTGCATTTTCTGCGAACAGAAAATACTTTCTTTCTTCCCATCCTTCCATTTTTAATGGATAGTTGAAATGCAGAAATCTGATATTAGAGTCATAGAGATGTACAGCACGGAAACAGTCTCAGCGATCCAACGCATCCTAAATAAATATAGTCTTATTTGCCAGCATCTGGACCATATCCCTCTAAACCTTTCCTATTCATATACCCATCCAGATGCCTTTTAAATGTTGTAATTGTATCAGTCTCTGCCAATTCCTCTGGCAGCTCATTCCATACACGCATAACCCTCTGCGAGAAAAAGTTGCTACTTAGATCCTTTTTAAATCTTTCCCCTCTCATCTTAACCCCATGGTATCTAGTTTAGGACTCCCCTACCCGAAAGAAAAGAGTTTGACTGTTTACCCTATCCACGCCCCTCATGATTTTATAAACTTCTATAAGGTCACCCCTCAGCCTCTGACACTATAGGGAAAATAGCCCCAACTGTTCAGCCTCTCCCTATAGCTCAAACCCTCCAACTCTGGAAACATCCTTGTAAATCTACTCTGAACCCTTTCAAGTTTTACAACATCTTTCCTGTAGTAGGAAGACCAGAATTGCATGCAGTATTCCAAAAGTGGCCGAACCAATATGCTGTACAGCCGCAACATGACCTCCCAACTCATATACACAATGATAACAAGGTGTAGAGCTGGATGAACACAGCAGGCCAAGCAGCATTGTAGGAGCAGGAAAGCTGACGTTTCGGGCCTAGACCCTTATTCAGAAATGGGGGAGGGGAAGGGGGTTCTGAAATAAATAGGGAGGGGGGGAGGTGGATAGAAGATGGATAGAGGAGAAGATGGGTGGAGAGGAGACAGACAGGTCAAAGAGGCGGGGATGGAGCCAGTAAAGGTGAGTGTAGGTGGAGAGGTAGGGAGGAGATAGGTCAGTCCGGGGAGGACGGACAGGTCAAGGGGGCGGGATGAGGTTAGTATGTAGGAGATGGGGGTGGGGCTTGAGGTGGGAGGAAGGGATGGGTGGGAGGTAGGACAGGTTAGGGAGGCAGGGACGAGCTGGGCTGGTTTTGGGATGCGGTAGGGGGAGGGGAGATTTTGAAGCTTGTGAAATCCACATTGATACCATTGGGCTGTAGGGTTCCCAAGCGGAATATGAGTTGCTGTTCCTGCAACCTTCGGGTGGCATCGTTGTGGCACTGCAGGAGGCCCAGGATGGACTTGTCGTCTGAGGAATGGGAGGGGGAATTGAAATGGTTCGCGACTGGGAGGTGCAGTTGTTTAGTGCGAACTGAGCGTAGGTGTTCTGCAAAGCGGTCCCCAAGCCTCCGCTTGGTTTCCCCGATGTAGAGGCGGCTACAACGGGAACAGCGGATGCAGTGGCCACAATGGGAACAGCGGATGCAGCTCCATCCCCGCTTCTTTGACCTGTCTGTCTCCTCTCCACCTATCTTCTCCTCTATCCATCTTCTATCCACCTCCCCCTCTCTCCCTATTTATTTCAGAACCCCCTTCCCCTCCCCCATTTCTGAAGAAGGGTCTCGGCCCGAAACGTCAGCTTTCCTGCTCCTATGATGCTGCTTGGCCTGCTGTGTTCATCCAGCTCTACACCTTGTTATCTCAGATGCTCCAGCATCTGCAGTTCCTACTATCTCATATACACAATGCACTGACCAATAAAGGCAAGCATACCAAACGCCTTCTTCACCATCCTGTCTACCTGTAACTCCACTTTCAAGGAATTATGAACCTGCACTCCAAGCTCTCTTTGTTTAGCAACACTCCCCAGGACCTTACCATTAAGTATCTTTAAGTCCTGCCCTGATTTACCTTTCCAAAATGCAGCACCTCACATTTATTTAAATTAAATTCCATCTGCCACTCCTCAGCCCAACTGCCCATCTGATCAAGATCCCATTGTACTCTGAGGTAACCTTCTTTGCTGTCCACTACATCTCCAATTTTGGTGTCCTCTGCAAACTTACTAACCGTACATCCTGTGTTCACATCCAAATCATTTAGGTAAATGGCAAAAAGCAAAGGAGCCAGCATCAATCCTTGTGGCTCACCAGTGATCACAGGACTCCAATCTGAAAAGCAACCCTCCACCACCACTCTCTGTCTTCTTCCTTCGAGGCAGTTCTGTATCCAAATAACTAGTTCTCCCTGTATTCCACGTGGTTTAACCTCGCTAACCAGTCTACCATGAGGAACAAGTAACAGCAGTAAAACAATTTCAGCTTTCATAAAATATTCCAAATTTGTCTTGAAAGCTAGTTTCCTTCATTATTACTGGCAAGACACATAACCATAATGTTTGGTTTGTTGTTGATATTTTATGATAGATGGACACAGGCTTTTAGCAGATGGAAGCTACAATCATACTTTGTGTTTCTCACACACTGAAATATTTAACAGAACAAACACATTGTGGGAATACTTGAATAATAATGTCAACCAGACCATTTCCTGAGAACTTCAGCAAAAGCCGTTATGATAGTATGCAATCTAAGCTGAAAATATTTCCTTGAATTAGGATAGCTAAGGCAAGAGTAGTTGTTAATTTTAAAAATATACTTTTTCAGTGGTGCTGTTATTTACAATCTTTTTATTTTATTTTTCACTTAACCACAAAGGAGAGAAGATTGCATATGTATATAGTTTACTGTCAAAACAAGCCCAAATCTGAATACATTGTGTCCGAATATATTGACACCTATTTTGAGGTAAGAACTTTGGAAATATTTTAAGTTTGAATTAAAGTTTGTGCCACTGAACGAATAAAGGCAAGCATACCAAATGCCTTTTTTACTGTCCTGTCTACCTGTAACTCCACTTTCAAGGAACTATGACCTTGCATTCCAAGCTGTCTTTGTTCAGTAACACTCCCAAGGTCCTTACCATTAAGTATATAAGTCCTGCCCTGATTTGCCTTTCCAAAATGCAGCACCTCACATTTATCTAAATTAAACGCCATCTTCCACTCCTCAGCCCAATTGCCCATCTGATCAAGATTCTGTTGTACACTGAGGTAATCCTGTTCGCGTGTCCACTACACCTCCAATTTTGGTGTCATCTGCAAACTTACTAACCATACATGATATGAGAATGATGTTGATATTTCTAGAACTTGAACAAACTCAGATTTAATGTAATGTTTCTCGTGCATATGTAAACGTGAGCCACATCTTCCACTCAGGGTTGACACTGAGCACATTGACACTGCTTGGGCCCCAACAGTTTTATGATTCTTAGGCCTTCTGATCCTGGTTGAATCATCAGATGTCCAGTACAGCCTCTCCAGGGGAAGAATGCCTGGTGTAAGAAGGGATGACAAACCCCTTTAAGTTCACTAGCTTCTGTATTTCGTTAAGCTTTTAAAAGTCCAAGTCTTTCAGAAAGCAATTGAATTTAATGTCTGAGTTTTGTGACTTCTATTGAGTCCTGACAAGCATTCCCCAAATTATGTCACATCTATTGCTATCTAAAGACCATAAGATTTGGGCCATTCTTTTTTTCTTCCATCGTCCTCCATTATAAAATATTATGGCTTGTACGATAAGACAAAAATGATCGTTTTGTATTATCTTGAGTGTACAGAGTTCCCCTATTTTGTTCCCACTTGTCCTTTCTTCCCGATGCTTCCCCACTGATTTCATTTAAAATTACAGATTGTGGTTTTGTCTCCAGCCACTCATGCTAAGCAAACATTACTACTGTTTTGAATAATATTTGCAAAAAATTTTCAACTGTTATATCTTTGACATTTTAATGATTATGTTAGCTTGACCATACATCTGCAGTTATGTTTAAAACTCTACGAAATCATCCAGAATCTATACTGCTTAATATAACACAGTTGAGGTAGAGAAGAATACAACACAAGTGTCAAAGGAAACGTTGCTATTACATCTATATTAGAAAAAGAAGAACGGATTTAAATCATGCTTTTTACTGTGATCTTAAGGACATAAAACAGCGACTTGGTCATCGATTACAACTGACAGACCTGCTAATAAAACCAGTACAACGGATAATGAAATATCAGCTCCTTCTTAAGGTTAGTACATCTTGGGGAACTTATGATTGAAAAACTATATAGTATATTAAGGAAAATGTGTGAAGCAACTCAGAATGCAGTCAACTAATTATTTGGCAATGATCATTCACAATGAGTCATGCATTCTGCTATAACAAGGAGAAAGCTGTTCATGCACTGTTAGAAAAAACTCATCTTGTGCTTTAATTAATGTGGAGGACAATCATTTGAAGTTAGGTTTCTGGATTAACAGGGAAACTTCTGATTAATTCTGTTTTATCCTCTCTGTGCACAGGACTTCCTTAAATACTCAAGAAAGGCTGCTGTTGATACAACAGAACTGGAGGTATTGTCTCAGCACATCAGTGTCAATATACTTTCCATGTCATCAAAGCATTGTCATTTTAGAAGCTAGATAGTATATTTAACTGTTCTACCCTGAGGACAACATTCTCCACATAGAACAAGCTTTTATGGCACACCTTTAACATCGAAAAGCTTGCCAAGGCACTTCGCAGAGGTGTAATCAGAGAAAAAAATGTCATGCTACTAGGAATTATGAATATTGTGATCACTTACATCTGTTGTATTGTTGAAAGATACAATTTTGTGTTCCCTCTGGAGATGACTACTCACATTTGATCAGTCAGAATGCACTGCAGATCTTTCAGTGCATCGTTCAAGTTTAATTTTATTAATTGCATCTTTTGAGAAGATGTACTATTTTACGTACTAGTACCCTAGCTTGTCACTATTTTTATGATGTATGGACATATAGCAACTTATTATCTACATGGAGAAACTTCAGAGTGCTCAGGTGCAAAGGGATCTGGTTGTCCTTGTGCATGAATCACAGAAAAACAGTATGCAGATACAGCAGGTAATAGGGAAAGCAGACGGAAACTTGGCATTTTTTCCAAAACTGTACAATGCTGTCGTGACTCCACGCTGAAGTATTGCATACAATTTTGGTTCCCTTACTTGATGTAATTATATTGGAGGCAGTTCAGAAAAGGTTCACTAGATTGATTTCAGAGATGAGAGTTTTGTCTTATGAAGAGAGATTGAGCAATTCAGGCCTATGTTGTTTGGGGTTTAGAAGAATGAGAGGAGATCTAATTGATCTCATATACAACTTTGTATATAAGATGATAAAGGGGATTGACAAAGTAGACACAGAAAGGATGTTTCCTCATACAAAACCAGAAATTGCTGGAAAATCTCAGCAGGTATAGCAGCATGAGGAGAGAAATCAGAGTTAATATTTCGGGTCCAGTGACCCTTCTTCAAATCTGATGGTAGCTAGGAAAAAGTTGGTTTCTATGTGAAAGATAGGGTGGTGGAGGGGATGAGGAACAAACGATTAGTGGAGATAAAGCCCAAAGAGACAGAAGAACAGTTGGACAGTCAAAGACGTGGATAATGGTCATCCTAGAAGAATGAGTAACTGCTATTGGGGACTATTATTGGCTAACAATGGGTGAGTGTAATAGCAGACCATTTGATAAAAATGCCTGGTGTGTGGGGTTTGTGGTAAGGACATTGGGAGAAGGTGCCTCAAAACCTAAAATTTTTGAACTCGTGTATTGAGTCCAGAAGGTTGTAGAGTTCCCAAGTGGAAAATGAGGTGTTGTTCTTCCAGCTTGCACTGAGCTTCGCTGGAGCACTGCTGCAAACCTGAGACAGAGATGTTGGCAAGGGAACAAGGTGGTGTGTTGAAGTGACAAGCAACTGGAAAATTAGGGTCTTTTTTGCACACAGATCATAGGTGTTCTGCGAAGCAGTCACCCAGTCTCCACTTGGTTTCTCCAAAGTGTCCTCATGTTAGGCGATCTAGAATGAGAGGTCATAGTTTTAGGATAAGGGGTAGCAGCTTTAAAACAGATGAGGAAAATTTATTTGTGAATCTGTGGAATTCACTACCCCAAATTGTGCTGAGACGTCGAGTAACTTTAAGGATAGACAGATTTTAGTAATTGGTTGAAGGGTTATGGAGGGCGGGCAGGAAAGTGGAATTAAGGCTGAGCTGAGATCAGCCATGGTCGCATCAAATGGAGGAGCAGACTCAGATGGCTGAATTGCCTACTCCTGCTCTTAGTTCTTATATTCATTCAATACATGGCTTTGAAAACTAAATTTCACATCTTTTATTTGGTTTGCTACATGTAAGTAACAAGCTTAGTGTTTGCATTACTACAGGTTAGGATATATGTACCTTTCTTCTCTTGAGAATGCATATTGAGCAAAACAAAATAAATAAAAATCGTATTTGCAAGGCAAATAAATAATTTGGGATGGCATGCCTGTTTATATTTATCAGCAAAATATTTTGCTTGTAAAATATAACAAAGTACTGATATTGCAACTATGTTCCATGAAGAGATAGGACTGAGTTTTGTACAGTCAGTTGAATTCTGAAAGGAAAACGTGGGCTGGAATCTTTTTGTTTTATTTCGTTGACTTCCTGTGGCTCAACCCAACTTCTCATTGTCACTAATCAACTAATCTCAGGTGGGAGAAAATGTGTGACCTGGAAATTAAAATGGCCCAGGCCATTCTGAATCCTCTGTAGGGATTTATCTCTCACCCTTGCCTTCCAGTTAAAGGTGAAACCATGAAGCTTTCTAGTATGTGGATGGGTCCCTGTAATAAAATAAGTAGTAGGAGTCGGCTATTCAGCCTTTTGATTCCATTCCATCATCAATGAAATCATCATTTATCTTCTGCTTCATCACTGTTTTCCTACGCTATATCTATTTTGATATTTTTAATGTGTAAAAATCTATGGATCTCAATCTTAAACAAACTCAATGACTAAGCCTTCACAGTGCACTAGTGTAGAAAATTCCAAAGATTCACCACCCTCTGAGTGAAGAATTTTCTCAACCCTAAACGATCTACTACTACTTCTGACTGTGCCCCAGTTCTAACTGCACCCCTCACCCCAACCTAATATTGCCCAGTCCAGCCAAGGAAAACATCCTTCCTGCATCAAAGCTTAGATTCCTGTAAGAATTTTCTAAGTTTGGATAAGATCGTTTCTCATTCTTCTAAGTTCTAGACCATGTAGGCCCTGGTTATTTAATCTTTCTGATAGTACAATCCCTCCATCCCATCAATTAGTTTCAGCAGTCTTTGTTGTGCTTCCTATACGTCAAGTATTTCTTTCCATAGGTAAGACCAAAACTGCACACAATACCCCGGGTGTGGTGTCACTGAAGCTTTGTATAATTGCAGTATGATATCTTTATACCTATTTCAGATTGTCTTCAACTGAAGTCCAGCATACACTTGCTTTCCTCCTTGTTCATTGTACCTGCAGGCTAACATTCAGTGACTCATGAGCAAGAAAACCTAAGTGTCTTTGAAGGTCAACTCTTCCTAGCCTCTCACCATTTAAGAAATTCTCTACTTATGTTTCATAGAATCCCTACAACGTGGGAGCAGGCCATTTTAGTCCACACTGACACTCTGAAGAGCATCCCTCCCAGACCCACCCCGCCTCTCCCACGGCTAATCTACCTAGCCTGCACAACCCGTGTCACTACTGTGCAATTTAGCATAGCTAACCCAATCCACCTAACCTGCATACCTTTGGACAATGGGAGGAATTCGGAGCACCTGGATGAAACCCACACAGACACAGGGAGAATGTGCAAACTGCACACAGACAGTTGCCCCAGGGTGCGAGTCCCTGGCGCTGTGATGCAGCAATGCTAGCCACTGTGCCACCCATGTTTGTCCTACCAAAGTAGATAACTTTTTTCCATATTGTGTTCCACCTACCAAATTTTTACCCACTTGTTTAGCCTCTCCAAATCTCCTTGAAGCATCTTTGCATCCTGTTCACAACACAATATGTTCAAGTATAGTTGACAGTTGGTCTCTGCGTAGATTACACTGATTCCATCTCATCACATCTTTCAGTGAATTGTGTATGGTTGAAGAGGAAAAGTGGAACATGGGAGGCTACTAACAGAAGGAAGGGAAAAAAATTCTATTGTCAGTATGTTTTTGAACTTGTAACCGATTGCGATCTTACGTAACAGGGTTCTCTAGCTTCTTTTCATGTGCTTGCAACAATCAAAATAATATAGCTAAGAGAGATGCACAGGAAAGAATGACTTTATATTTTTAGATATTTTAAGATCCTTAAAATTAATAAACCTAGGAATATTAATGCTGATAATTTCTTTCCTCTGTCTTCTACATATAGAAAGCTGTGGAGGTCATGTGTGTTGTACCAAAGAGATGCAACGATATGATGAATGTTGGACGGCTGCAAGGATTCGATGTAATTCTGACAGTTTGATTTCTGTCAATTGTTCTGTTTCAGGAAAGCCTCCTCTGTTATTTACAATAGCTCAGCTTCATTTTCTAAATCTGAGGAGGATTAGTTCAACATGTGTCATTCATGTACCAAAGCAAATGAGCACAAATCAAAAGTATTATAAATTTAACTGATTTTTTAAAAAAATTGTACATTTAAATGTTTGTTATTTTGTAAATGTGTGACATTTTCAGTATCTTGGGTTCTTTACAACAACGTAAATAATGTGTGCAACCATGCTGAAAACAGAATTGTAACTTAACTCCTCGCTGCCATCATGTTTATTGCAAGTTTTGACTTACAAAGTGCCAAACAGAGAGTTGCAGTATGAATGTGAATTTCTCTTTTCTGTGAACAAAAAGGATATGGTTTACAAACAGGTCTGTGATCTCAACATAGAAGAGGAGTACTAGCAGTTCATTTATTCACTGCAAATTGTAGCCATTCACATTATATATACCAGAGTCCCTTTTAGCTACACTCTGTTTCTGATTTGTACAGACATAAATGATTGAAGTTTTTTTTAATGTTTTGTGTTGGACTTGCTGAATCCTTTTATGGAATGAAAAAATGGGTGATGTTTCTCCCTCTGTTTTCAGGGCAAAATTATAGCCCAAGGAAGATTGCTTCTCCAGGACACATTCTTTGTTGCAGATCAGGATGCTGGACTTCTTTCACGCAGTAAAGAGCGAAGAGTCTTCCTTTTTGAACAGATTGCAATATTCAGTGAGCCTTTAGATAAGAAAAAAGGCTTCTCCATGCCTGGCTACTTATTTAAAAACAGTGTCAAGGTAATGTCGAGACCAATCTAGTAAATTTCTTACAGAATTCAAGCAAATCTTCTAATATAAATTCTCAAAGAATAATTAATTAATAGTTAATTAATTAATTTAGGCAAATTTAATTTATTAATGGTTTTTGTAAACCCAGTTGATGTCTGACTTGTAAATTTATAATGTTTTTGGATACCAATTTCAGTAGCTAAATTTATCGTAATATCATGAAGAATAGGTCAGTTATAAAATCATAGAATCCCTATGGTGTGGAAGCAGGCCATTTGGTCCATCAAGCTTACACTAACCCCTCTGAAGAGCATCCCACCCAGACCCTATCCCTGTATTTCCCAGCTTAGGCACTATGGGCAATTTAGCATAGCCAATCCACCTAACCTGCACACCTTTGGACCGTCAGAGTAAACCAGAGTACCTGGAGGAAATCCACACAGACATGGGGAGAATGTGCAAACTCCACACAGACAGTTGCCCGAGACTGGAACCAAAACCGGGTTCCTGGCGCTGCGATGCAGCGGTGCTAACCACTGAGCCACTGTGCTGCCCTTATTATAGAAGAACAATATACAATCCAACCACAGGTCTATTTCCCTGTGAAATATGTAATTTCATCAGCAATGAGATACTGGCTCAAATTTAATGGCTGTGGATTGCTGGAAAACCACGAAGAGGCAGCCCCACTGCATCTGAATTCCAGACTTAATGAAGTAGCATTCAGGCAGTTGGTGGCTGATGTCAGGGTTCCCTGCCTGTAAAGGTAGAGATGCCACTTCGTGAACCTGCCATCCAATCAGATGGGAGCATCGTCTGTGTCAACAGCATCATTAGGTGTGGTGGCCACTGCTAGGACTGCTGCCTGCAGCAACACAACAGTGATGCAGGAGGTCCCATAGTGCACATAAGTGGGTTGGGGTTTTCTCAGGCTCCAGCAAGCAAAGGGCACAGGAGTTGAATTGGAGGGTAAGCTGGGCTTTTCCTTGTACCATTTTCTCCTGGGGGCCAAGAGCAAGGTGTTGTTGTACCATTATGGTATTATCTAGTGTTGTTCTCAAAATTTCTGGCAACAGTAGGCTGAAGAGATGAGACACTTGTACTGGGGTGAAATAAATCAAAAACAAATCAATCTACAGCACTTGCATACATCTTCCAGCTCCTGTTTAGAAGCAACATTGCAGAGCACCAGTAATATGTTACTTTTCTGTTCATCAGTCAAACCTGTTGTGATTGCATCACTGAACTGTCTCATCTTGGCTGGAGTGAAGGGGGTTTCCAATAAGCCACGTACCCTTGCAGCAAGAGACACACAAGTTCAAGTTACCGCACAAAACAATTTCAGAGAACTTGGATAAATTACCAGTACACTCCAAAAAAAAAAGAAATGTTGCTTAGAGCATTATCCAGCATCACATAATATTAATCAAAAATATAATTTTAAAAAGTTCTGTCAGTGTTATTATGGTGCCATTCTCCTTTCTAAATTATAATTTTTTTCAGCTTTAGTTTTTAATGAGAATGTTTCTCCCTTGGACATCTTACCAGACTATATTTTTTCTGTGTAATTTTTTTCAGATTCAGTATATCATATTCAGATAATGTCCTCATTTTGTAAAAGTGTTTTGAAATATTTTATATAATTATCTCAATGCATATTACAAACAGAAGATTATCAGGTGAAATTGTGGACTGAGCCACCACCATTTTCTGTCCATTAATTTTAATAGACAGAAAATAATGCCCTCGGATTGCAATTTTGTAATATGCGATGAAGCAGTCAAGTAATATATTTATCCTTGTATAAAAGATCTGACAAGTGTCACTTTGGATATTCAGATTTAGAAGTCATATGATTTCATACCCAAGGGTTTATTGATTTGTGTTTCAGGTGAGTTGCCTTGGCCTGGAAGAGAATGTGGAGAATGATCCATGTAAATTTGCACTTACCTCACGATCAGCTGAAGGCGGTGTAGAAATCTATGTTCTGCAAGCATCAAATCCTACAGTACGCCAAATGTGGATCTATGAAATCAACCAAATTCTGGAAAACCAGCGCAACTTTTTAAATGGTATTTTGAGGTTTACTTTAAACAAATGCATTAAACAGGATCTCATTGTTCCTCTTCTATTTAAATTAGCTTTTTCAACAACATTAGTCAAATAAATTTATTATTAAATTGTATAGGCAAAATAATTTTTACTATATTTTTTGTAAGTGCTGATGAGTTAGAATATTTAAGGTCTTGGTAAAATATCATTTTTAAAATTATAAGCAACAAAGGCAGTTTCAGTCTTAATTCCACACTCACCAACCCTATTGATCAGTCCTGATTTTCCTGAGAGATACAGTAGTTATGACCTAGAGACAGACAAAGTGTTAGTTTCAGTGAAGTGTTCCCAAGAAATACAGAAGTAATTTGCCAATTATCATCGTTCCTTTCAGTTGGACCTACTTAGCCTGTGTTCCTAATGGCCCCAAAGAAACATGGATAAAACTGGGGCTTTCACAGAGCCAAGGATCAAACTTGCATTCCATCAATCCATGAATTCCCTAGGATTAGCAACTTTTAAACTCCTAAGGATTTTAAAATACAGTAACTTCTTAATATAGAAATTTAGCATTTTCTGTTTAGTCAATAACTAATGTGAATTAGAACAATTTTGTACCAGAACTGTAGAAAATCATTTCACATGCATAAATGGGCTGTGATGTTTCAGATTTAGCTGTGTTCCAATTGAATTTTTGATCACTATCAGTTTGCTGGAGCCCATAACTAATTTTTAAATAGGTGAGCAAATGGAATCAAGCTTCATCTAATTGTTAATTTGTTGTATCATAACGGTTCCTTATGAAAATTTTGTGTACCATTCCTATCATGCGCAATATTGTTTTACGGTAAGTAATAATTAACCCTTTTCTAGAAGCTCAAGAATGTGAACTACTTGAAAAATTGTAATGGACCACCAAATTTCACCTGTTATGATTGAATTATTTATGCAATCCATGAAATGGACTTTCATTGTCTTAAACTCACAAAAGCATACATCGGAATAATCTGGAAGTATTTGAAAATTACTAAATATAAATGAGCCTTGAGAGGGCTTTTCTAATCCCTACTTCCCATTCAACTAAGTCTTTTTTTTTATAATCCACGTTTTTCATTTATCCCAATATTATAATGTACAATTTGTCTAATGAAACTTTTTTTTTGGCTTCAGCTTTGACATCTCCAATTGAGTACCAGAAGAACCATGTTGGCCCTAGTGGACCTAATAGCTGTAGTGGAATGATCAGTACAAGCCGTTCCAGACCGTCTCGGATCCCCCAGCCCATCAGGCACCATTCCCCAGTCCTGGTCTCCTCTGGGGCCTCGGCCCAAACAGAGGTAGACAGATTGACAGGTATGTCCGCTCGCAACCCTACCCTGACGACACTCAACAGCACCTTAGATTCTGGCTCCAGTCAATCTGACAGGCACCTGGAACGACAAGGCAACGAAAGGGACTTGGAACAGATTCCTAGGAAAAAACTCCTTGACAGTCCCAGGAAAACATTAGGACCACTCACCAACACAGGAGATGGAAGCCTAAAGGAATTACGAGGTAGTCTAGAAGAGAACCAGTCACCGAGAGGCAGTGTGGGCACTCTGACAATAGGAAAGCAACGGCCAGGCACTACGTCACCCTTGAGTTCTCCGCTGTCTACAACCTTCCCTTCCTCTCCCATCAACAAAGAACCCTTCCCTCCCAGCAGTCCTGTTCTTAAGGGCTCCTTCTGGAGCTCACACCCAGCTTCACCTGCAAGCCGCCCTGGTTCCTTCACCTTTCCAGGGGACATGGACTCCCTGCAGCGCCAGGTCCACCGCCACTCCACGCACAGCAAGGACACTGATCGTATGAGCACATGCTCCTCGACCAGCGAGCAGTCGGTGCATTCCACCCAGAGCAACGGGGTAAGAGCGGAGCAAGTCTGTCCTGTGAGCTCCTCTAAAACCTTCCCACGCTCTCCTTCTGTGCGTCAGTATAACTCTCCGTACTAATTCCTCCTGGCTCTGCAAAAACAAACTGCTCTGTTCTGAAACTTAAAACCTTAGCCTAACTGCTCATCGCTGTGACTGTCTACCTGTCAAGATCTTTTTAAAAAACTTATCAGCCTAAACATCTACTAACCACTGCTCCTGCAACTCCCTCCTTTGCAGAAGGCAAAATAACAGCTAACGCAACTTTCAGCAAAACAAAACTGCATCTTTACCCTTTTTCCTTATAGACCAGCATACCACATCTGTTAATGGGGCATTTCTCTGGACTGGTCACGCTACTTTAAATTTGCTAGTTGCAACTTTTTTTTTATTGCCAGTTGCTGATTCAATGCATCATCCCCTATCTTGTTCAGCCAGCTTCTGCAGCTGATATATGGAATCCTCTGTTCAAGAAGCTGTCCAGCTTACAATGTAAGACATTGAAACTGCTTAAGGGTGCCATAACATCGGAAGGTTTAAATGCACTGACCGTCTCAAATTAATTTTAACTTTTTTGATCACTGAATTCTTCACAAGTATATTTTGTTTTTCAATATCTTGTAAATTTGTAATGCTTTACCTTATGGTACGGGAGACAGTATTCCCTTCCAAAGAAAAAGCAATTTTACCAAATGTCTTTCCAGAATTTGTTTCTTTTCCCACAATTTGTTTGCTTTGAAATCATTGTATTAAATATAATGCCAATAATCAGAATGAAAATGTTTCCCTGAACAGTGTAACAAACTCACAAAAATATTGTTACTTAACATTTAGCCTAGTTTATTTCTTTTAAACTCTTGCATGCTCACTATGCATTGCATGTCCCTCAGTTTTCAAGCGCAGAATTTTGGATAGGTTGTTAAGTTCCACTGTATTGATCCATTTGCTTGAAAGCATGTGCTTTGTGCTGCCTAAGCAGATGCTAAAATAATATGTACACTATGACATTCTGCTGTTCCACTTTCTATGTTCTAGTCTTTAACTTCCTTTTTCTCTTCTTCTTTGTTTCAATTTGTATGTTTTTCCTGTCTCAATTAAGGGAGCAACTTTGTACCAGTTGTGTCAAAAAATGATTCTTGTTGTATTTTGTATGTCAAAAATGGTCTTACGTAATCCACAATTAAAATGTGCAGCATACTCGTGGTGATGAGTTATCATGTAGGTGGGAGTCTGAAACACTCTGGTCAAAAGCTAGATGTCACCTTGATGACCCTGAAAAGGTTATTATACGTAGATGTTTTAGTAAAAATTGCCTGTCTTCAAGCATAGAAAATTGAAGGCAGGTATTTCTCTGGTATGAGAACTGGTTTAAGAAGATGCTATATTTCTGTTCCTCTTCAGGCAGTGCAAGAGAACAGAACATTGAATTAGTTATATTATATCATAGACATGGATGCTTTAAATGGCAGCTGTGTTATTGAGGAATGATACAGAAAAGCATACATGATTAGCAATGGCGAAACACTTCTAGCACAGGAGGAAATAAAGTGTGTGAATCATTCTACTCTATTTTCTTCACTTTCTAGCAGCTATCGAATGAAGTGTAGTTGCAAAGGCTTCAGTGCAGATTGCAACTGGCAATTGGCAGACAAAAAAATGATTTGTAGCTGCATTATTTGCTTCTTCTCCTGCATAGTCTAACATTCTCTGCATCAGATGCAGCTAAATATTCATCAATTATTATTGTCATCATTAGTCTAAACTCATAGTAGAACTTATGAAATAAGCTAATACAAAAGCAAAATTCTATGGGTACTGGAAAACTGAAATAAAATTTTAAAATGCCAGAAATGCTCTGCACAAACAGCAGCAACTGTGGAGACAGATACTTCAAGCTGATGATCATTAGTGAGAACCAGAAAAGTTGATGATGTAACAGGTTTGAGCAAGTACGGAGACATTTAATGTGGGAAGGGTGAAAATATTAAAAGGGAAGTCTGGGGTACACTAGAAATAATGTAAATGGGAAAATCAGCATAACCACAAATCACTTCATTTGAAGACAAAAAAGGAGGCCACAGGTTGTATATGATCTTAATTTATTGAACTCCACATTGAGTCTAAAAGGCTGTTAAGGGCCAAATCAAGATATGATCCTTGAGAAACAGCACTTCTTCATCTGGTTAGTCACTTTGCAGTCTTTCATACTCAATATTGAGTTCCACAGTTTTCGATCATATCCTCTACCCTGTTCCCTTACCTTCATTGCCATTTATTAGTAATTGTGCTTTTCCCATTAGTTTTCTTCTAGACCTATCTTTGATTCTTTGCTTATCCTTTTACCTGGCACCATAATCCATTTGTCATTTAATCACTCCTGCCTTCCACCTAATCATATATCTTCTCTTTTCTTGTTCCGTACTACATCCTTTCATTGCCTCTGAACTTGCTTAAAACCTGTCACATTTCTTTAACTTGTCCAGTTCCAGTAGAAGATCAGCAACCTGAGGCATTTACTCTGTTTCTTTCTCCAAAGATGCTGACAAACCTGTTTAGTATTCTCCGTTTTTAAATGAAACCAGCTATTGAATTTCAAAATACTCTTATGTTGATACTAGAGCAGATAGGAATGAATTTCAAGCCACGTCTCCACATTCTGTTCCACTACAAATTTTTAGAAAAGTGATGCATTTGAATTTAACAGGCTTTGTTTATGAAACATTAAATTGTTCATGTTTTAATTGTTTTTGAAACTGTCCTGCTTTTGCTAAACTAAGGGCTACTCATCACTTTTTCACAAGTTTTTTGAATCCTATGGAGGGAAGTTGTACAATTTTAAGGTATTCTGTCAATAGCCTCAAACCATACAAATCAAGAAGATCACACCAGTGTTATAGTCTGTACTAAGTTAATTGATCTTGATTAATGCAGTAGTAAAGGCAGTACAATTGACTTCCAATGTGCCTGTATGTCAGTTTTCCTCCTACTGATCACTGTCCACCATTTCTTGCTGGAAGTGAACCCATATGAATTTAGCTCCTTATAGTTGAGCACCCTTCCAGGTTTATCCATACAATCTGGTCGCTCATACCAAGTAACTTGGGCGTTTGCGAATTGAATTCTTATGTCAGCAGAGTCAATGTTTTGAAAGGAGGAAAGGAAGAAAGAACATTAATGGGGGGAAAAAAGCAATGTCAGTTTTAATTTAAACTGTGAATTGGCAGTTTTGTTTTCTTAAAGTATCAGTTTAACAATAAACAATATTAGAATATATATTAGCAATTTTGCTATGTGCTGTGGGGATTTTTAATGTTTTATTTGTCAGTTTATTGTATCTGTGTATTTGTTTAAGTCATAATAAAAAGAAGAATATTGTGTTATATGAAGTGTTGAAAACAATAAATTTAGGTTCATGTTTCAAATCACTTTTTAATTGAAAGGAGGGGGGGGAAGCAACTTCATTATGATATTAAATCAGTGAGCCATGTTTAAATTACCAATTTAATGTATTACTATGTGAAATGTTTCAGAAGCACATTTTATTTTTGCAACCTTGTTTTTTCCTCCCCTGTAGAGTGAAAGTAGCAGCAGCAGTAATATCTCCACCATGCTGGTAACATATGATTACACTGCGGTGAAAGAGGATGAGATCAATGTCTGCCAGGGCGAGGTGGTGCAGATCCTGGCCAGCAACCAACAGAACATGTTTTTGGTGTTTCGAGCAGCCACTGACCAATGCCCTGCAGCTGAGGGTTGGATTCCTGGCTATGTACTAGGTCATACAACTATTGTAATCCCAGACAACCCTGAAGGAACATTAAAGTTAGTCTGTTTTCATTCATCGTTTGGTTACATAACTCTAAATGATCAATCTTTCAGGCAATTTCTTCCAAATCATACAATCATTCTCGCTTCTTTACATACGATGACAAGTGGACAGGAATGAATTTCTCTATCTCAATTTTCTCCTGCTTCTCTTGGCTGAGATTTAGATGCATGGATCCTGACAGCCTTCTGATAACTGGTCTAAGTGGCTATACTTGTTGCACAAGTCTTCAATAGCCAGTGTTAGCAAGGAAGTGGGTTATGAGAGAGAAACAGAGGAATAGTATTTACACCTGTCCTAAGTTTACCCAAATTCCACTATGTAAACTTTCCAACTGAAATCACAAGAAAGCAATCAGCATTAGGAGCACTGACTGTTTTCCCATTACTCCATCGCTAGTCCAGGAGCATTGAGGCTGATTGTAATACTCCAGCATGCAGACAAACACAACTAGATTTGAAACTTTCATGGTCAGTGTGGCTTAATACCAGGCCTGGTGGCATATTTACTCAGTTATATAGAACCTATTATTATGGAAGACACTTATAGAGTCATACAACACAGAAAGAGACCTGTCAGTCCAATGACCTATTGTTCCCAGGTTTTTTTGTAGCTTTTCTAAAATAAAGGTACAACATTATCCAGAGTCCTCCAGCACCTCACCCGAGGCTGTAGATAATACAAATATCTCCGCTAGAGGCCCCGCAATTTCTTCCCTAGCCGACCACAACATCCTGGGATACACTTGAATCAGAGATAGTAGGAACTGCAGATGCTGGAGAATCCGAGACAACAAGGTGCAGAGCTGGATGAACACAGCAGGCCAAGCAGAATCATAGGAGCAGGAACACTGACGTTTCAGGCCTAGACCCTTTCTGATGAAGGGTCTAGGCCCGAAACGTCAGCCTTCCTGCTCCTATGGTGCTGCTTGGCCTGCTGTGTTCATCCAGCTCTGCACCTTGTTATCCTGGGATACACATTGTTTTTTTACCTCTTCTGTAATATGGACTGTTTTAAAGACATTAAAGTCCACGGTAAATACTGACACGCAATATTCGTTTAGTATCTCTCCCATCTCCCGTGGTTCCACACGTAGACGATCTTTGTATATTTTCAGTTAAGCTGTTTTATAATGGACTTTAATTGATTTCCAAAGTATCAAGTGAGCAATTTACACTACTGCAACTTTCTGCCCAGCTTGACTAGCTGGTAGCTATTATTGCTGTTTCCACGTAACTCTCATACTTGATGATAACTCAGTCAGATGGTCGAAAGCTTGTGATCATTGTTCTCAACCATACACTGTGAGAGCTATTTAAAGTTACTGTATTTTGAGGATGAAGCTTTCATTTTGATCATTACTCACTGCCCTTGGCTTGTTGGCATGACACAGAATATGTTGAACAGCAGGAGGTAGAAGGTCAAAAACAAAGTTGCTGGAAAAGCTCAGCAGGTCTGGCAGCATCCGTGAAGAGAAAAACGGAGTTAACGTTTCGGGTCCGGTGACCCTTCCTCAGAGGAAGGTTCTGAGGAAGGGTCACCGGACCCAAAACGTTAACTCTGATTTTTTTCTTCACGGATGCTGCCAGACCTCCTGAGCTTTTCCAGCAACTTTGTTTTTGTTCCTGATTCACAGCATCTGCAGTTCTTTCGGTTTTTACGGAGGCAGAAGGTCGTTCTTTTTCCGTATTTCTGCCATTAGTGATTTGAAACTGGCTACTGAGAGTACTAGAGCACACCTTGGCAAAATACTCTCTGATTTCACTTCTACAACCCTCCACCATGATCACAACAACCTCTCCCATTTCCCACTCCTCTGCACCCCCCATCTCCCTCCTCTGGTTACAGGGAAAGTACTTATCCTCTGGTCATTGACTGGGTGTGGAAGACTCAAATCCCTTCGTTCTGAGTCAGTGTGTAGGTCCTCCAAAATGTTGTGCTGAAAGTAAATATTATTTATAGTATATATTTTATACAGCATGATTATCATTTTTATTTGCACTTTAAAATGGGATGTGTTGTTCTTTTTCCTGTCCTCTCTCCTTTGGTTGAAATTTGACAACACTAGAAAATCAACGTCTTGGCACACTGCACTCCGTTTAAGAAAGAAAAACGAAAAGAAGGATAAAGATGGCAAGAAAGAAGGAAAGTTAGAGAATGGTTTCCGAAAATCACGAGAAGGCTTACCAAATAAGGTATCAGTTAAGGTAAGTCCCAATAATAGCCATTAGCTAAATAACTTGTTGGAAATTTTCCACAATTGGTAGTATCTTTTGAAGGTAAGATAAATGTATATATAACGAGATTCCAATTCCACCAAAGTACTTTTGAGAATTCCTCCTTGTTAAATGATTTTTCGTTTATTTTGGTGGGGGAAGTGAGGAGATATTGATTTATTGCCATTTCTAACTGATTCTTTACCAGCTTGTGACATGGTGCAGGATTCTAATCCATGCCAACCTCATTAGGTGATTAAATAATGAACAAACCTAAAAAACATGAGGTAGTCGTAGAAATGATTATGCACACAGATGTCATAACATTTTATTTAATTCTGTTTATTATCTGCACCATTCTTCAAACTAAGTCCGGAAAGTTTAGGTAGGTGGTGTTATAAAGCGGAGGTTGACCCCTTCTCTGAGAACTAAAACCAAAGAGGAATACCCCACCCCATAATCTGTAAAAGGAGCGTGAAAAGTGCTGTAACCTGCCTTTCAGCAACTTCTAGGTGTTAAGTAAAATAAACCCCTGACACTCACTTTACAATCAACAAGTTACAATTTATTTATCTAACTCTATCAGTGGACAAATTAACTAAACTATTAACAAACTGAATAAATCCCTTCTAACCATTCCTGAATAAAACAAGATTCTAATAGTATGCTGTTCCAAAAAATACAAGTCCCACTTATATAAATAAAAAATAGAATTTAGTCTCTCAAAATTACAGCCAGGTTACCTGTCTTCCAGAATGTTCTGTGCCTCCTCCATCGCTTCTTCTGTCAGGAATGCCTTCCCCATCGACTGCTCTGTCAGTAATATTAACCAATTGTGCCGTTGGTACCGTTGTTATTTATAAGGTGCTTTCTGTAAGACCTAGAGGAGGCCATGACAGCCAGTGATTCTCTTTCGAGAACTGAGTCATTACCTCTGGTAGATGGCAGCTGGAGTCTTTATCCAACCGCCCCTCTTCTTTTATACCCTTGATGGCATATCAATGTTTGTTACAATAGGATTCGTCCTATGTTGTCAAAACTATCAGACTTAAATTTAATAGGTTTTTGGATCTAAGTACCTGGTTCAAATTGGTTTGCTTAAATTCAAAAGCCTGTTGTTCTTGGTAAATACTACAGTTTGGCCTGCTAGCTGCTTGGCCTTTCGACACAAATATTTCAATTCTGGTGCTTTCTGTGTACTTGCAAACTTTCAAGCTGCTGCTCACAGGCATCCATTTTAAAGCTCTAAGCACAAAAGCACATAATCGTTTAAAGGGACCATGCAATGCATTCCGTCCTAGCATTTTACAAACACCAAATTCTAACTTCCTGCCTCCCAATCCCCAAGTACTGTACCCATCTTTGCAACTTTTTATTTAATTCCATTTATTATCTGTACCATTCTTCAAAATATGTTAGGAAAATCTAGCTAGGTAGGGTCTAGGCAGTTAAAGACGAACACCAGGGCTGCTTTTAGGTAAGTAGGACTCTGAAGTGGAACTCAAGCACCCACTTACTGATCAGTATACACCCAAACTTCCAATTGTTCAAGAACTTTTGCAGAACCAGTGGCAACCAATACAGAGCCTGGGTGAAAATGTTGTTTCTTTCATGACCCCAAAGAAATTTGGAATCCATGGGATCAACGTGAAACCAATGCTGCATTGTTTCAGGATTTCTGCATCTGCTTATATCTTTTTTAAATCATGTACTGTGTGTGGCCAGAATATTGAATTATTTTAGCTTTATTGTGCATTCAGTAGTCTTGTTTTCAGATGTAATGTATTGAAAAGAATGTAATATAAATGACAATGACTAAAAATATTACTCGGGCTTCTTATTTCACCAAAGTGTGCAGATTTGTTTGTAACTTGTAATCCCAGAACACTTCACAGCCATCACCTCAAACAATTTTCTTTGTTAGATATTTGGCATCAGTAAAGCTATTTGCTTTACTCTCAACGTTTGCCCAAAAATTGACTTGTGTTTCTGATCATTGACTTCCGCTAAACTGAACCATTAATCAGTAAAACAAAAAACAGATGTTGCTGGAAAAGCTCAGTAAGTCTGGCAGCATCTGTGAAGAAAAATCAGAGTTAACATTTCGGGTCCAGTGACCCTTCCTCAGAACATTAATCAGTGAGTTAAGGTTGATTATTATGTCATTTGACCTGTGTCACATTATAAACAAAATAAGGTCTAGAATATTTTATGAAATGATTTTTTTTAAAATTGGAGCATACTTCTTGTATTCACTCTGTATTTTAGCTGTCAAAAATAAGGGAAAAGTATCTTTTACCTCTCTTTCATGTGGATGCACTGTTCACATTAAAGCTGATTGGGTGTCAGTGTTTTCATGAAACACAGGATGCCCTGTGAAAACAGCAGTGGGTCAACTCTATTTCAGTTTCTCCCTATCTTGTGGGCAGATACTTGGGCTGGGTTTTCTGCTTTCCCTCAGATTGAGGCTCGAAGCATTACTGAAGTGTTGATGGAATGATGAACTTTGCACCAATATTCCATTATGTACTCATTACTTCTATTAGTAAATACCAGTAAGAAATATATCTATATACAGCTGGCATATATATCTTACTATCCATTATCTAAAGTAAATTAATCCTTTAACTGCATTAGTGGTGTTTGTGCTGTAATAGCTAGAGAATTGAAAAATAAAATCAGTTGTGTCATTTGCTTTTGAAACAATTATCAGTCATACTAAGTGTCAAAATATAATAATTCTCATAATTACTTGAAAATTTGGTAAATGAGCTGCAAGTATTTCACTTTTTTTATAATTTAGAATTACAAATTTAGATCATTAGTAGGAAACCACATTTCTGCTGCCTGCTGATACTGTTTGTTGGCCAAGCAGGAAATAATCTTTAGAATGATAGAATAGTTACTAAGCAGAAGTGGCCAGCTGACTTGTTTTTAAACTTGAAGTGACTGAAAATCCTGTTTTTGAAAATAAGTTTGTGGTTATGTCTCAAGTACAAATTTTTACTTTGCTTTTATTACATTCTATAATCCATTACTCAGGGAATTGTATTGCAACTCTGTTAAGGAATCCAGAGGAAACTTGTTCACTCAGTAAGTGTTGAGCTGAGGAACTTGCTATATTGCATGCAGTGGTCAAGGCAAAATGCAAGTTATATTAAATCATTCACATTTCTTTCTTTTCAGCTCTTGAACCCTAATTATATCTATGACGGTAAGTTATTTAAATAACTTTAAATTTCACAAGGAATAAATAAGCAGCCTTGTTTTAGAGATTGGATTTTGTTTTATAGCTGGTTAGTGCAAACATGCTCTATGCTATGAATTTGTGACAGGAATTCATGTCAGCTCTTTCTGAGGCAGGAATGTAAAGAGTAGAAGAGAGTTGATTCAACACAACAGATTATTGTTAATTTCACTCCCTTTTACAATGTAATTATCGTGATTATATGAGTTGAACATTTCTACAATTACACATCTGGGAACAGCGATTCAAAGCAGAACTTACGAAAATGAGTGTGTTTAGTGAAAACTGACTGAGAAGCACACATTAAACAGCAGTAAAGGAGCTGAGTGGCCTAACAAGTCTGTTATGGCTTTTTCAAAGAACTTTCCTGCTCCCCTTTTCTTGCCTCCATATCCCTACAATTTTCTTCTTTGAAATATTTGTTCAATTTTCATTTGAAGGCACCTATTTAATTTATATCCATCACCATTACAGTCTAGACATTCCAAATTTGAAACACTGCTTTTATGGAGGTTACATTTTGGCTTTCTTGTTCAAAGTTCAAAGTGTGCTTGCCAAAATCATTTTTGTTGAAGGTCAATTAATAGCATGACTCACAGCAGACTCTCCTTAAAGCAGAAGTATAAGCAGGGGTGTTATTTATTCTCACATTCAATCACAAGAGTAGTTGCATGCATCTTCACACACCCATACATGCACACAAGAGAAAGGGAATTTTGTGTCTAGGTATATTAAAAAGGAAATATTACAATCATTAGTTAAATTTTCAAACAGCTGGCATTCAGAGTTGTAAAGTTTCTTTTAAGTTGAAGACACAGCAGCAGTTTCTGATAGTGTTTGTTGGGAAGGGAACAGTTTGCTTTTTAGGTAAATTCAGGTTCTTTCAGAAAGCAGGTTTCAAGGAGGCATTTATCTTTAGTCAGACCTAATTGTTAGCCTACAGTCTGTTAGTGCTACTCCCAGGTGGTGTTGGCGGACAGACTGATTCAGAATCAGCATTTAATATAATCCAGAATTCCAAAGGAGTTTCAGTCACATCGTACTGGCCATGATCAGACAATGGATGAACAGTCCAGTCGTGTCCCTGTGCAGGCTACTGAGAGGAGCTGCCAGAACTTTGGCTGGTATGTTTATTGTGACCTGTGACACTCACCTTAGAGTCCAACAAAGTCTTCTTTTTAAACACAAAGAAGTAACAATTTGTGGGTGACAAGGTGGCTCAGTGGTTACCAATTCTGCCTCACAGCATCAGGACCCGGGTTCAATTCCATCCTTGGGCGACTGTCTGTGTGGAGTTTGCACATTCTCCCTATGTCTGAGTGGGTTTCCACCGGGTGCTCCAGTTTCCACCCACGGTTCAAAGACTGGTTAAGTGGGTTGGCCATGCTAAATTGCCCATAGTGTCCGGGGATATTCAGGCTAGGTGGATTAGGTTTCAGGGTTAGGATAGGTCTAGATGGGATACTTTTCAGAAGGTTAGTGTGGACTTGATGTACCAAATGGCCTGCTTCCACACTGTAGGAATTCTGTGGACAGTTTGTTGAAAACTTCATGCCTTCATAGGTATTTCACCTCTATTTACAAAATCCAGGATCCCATACATTTTACTAACTGTGTTTCTAATAGTCCTGCCCCCTTGAAAGGTTTGAGCATAACCAACCTTATTCTGCACTCCCTCAAAAATTTACCATTTAGCATTCCTCTTTGTAAATAAAATGTGATTTACTTACCATGTGATTTACCAAGTATCAACCTGTTCCACAAGCCTTTCTATGTCAACTTGACATCCGTTATAATTTCCCCTCAGTGTTGATTTGTGTAATTGTATGTCGTATCATCTGTAAATTTCCAGTTTGTGCTCTACACCTTCAAGTTCAAATCAGTGATGTATATTGAAAGCAACAGTTGTCCTAATACTGAACCTTGAGGAACTCAAATCTATACCCTCCTGGATCCAAAAATAAAATTACCCTGATTTTCTGTATCCCGCCTTTAGATAAGTTTGCATTCATACTGCCTCTGCCTCTTTTATCCCACAGGCTTCAGTTTAAAAGTCTGTGCCCTCATCCACCCTCTGTGCCTTATTAAAATTAATCAAACTAGTCAAACAAAATTTCTCTTAACAAATCCATGCTGTTTCTCCAGATCTAAGCTACTGTTTTCAGTCCCCTTTCCAAAATCTATTCCTTAGATATTGCCTCCATTCCTGTCCCTGGCCACAGCCTGTGATTAAGCCAGCCTGGCAGCAAACGTGAAGTGAGATAACAAGGTGTAGAGCTGGA